TGCAAAATAAATAAAAATATATTAGTAAAATTTCTACACATAAAATATTTTGTATATATTATAGAAATCTATTCAAAACAACATCACACAGTGAAAACTCTCCTATTAATTATTCAAGGTATGTGTTTCGCTAAGTTGTTCCAAATGTTAAAAAAAATTGTCCTAAAAAATATTGTGTTAAAAAAAATTGTCCTAAAATATATGGTCTTAAAAAAAATTACCTAAAAAATATTGTCTTAACAAAAATTGTCCTAAAAAATATGGTCTTAAAAAAAAATTGTCCTAAAAAATATTGTCTTAAAAAAAATGTAATCAGAAAATCATCCACCCAATACCGTTCTGTTGGAAGAGTTTTCATCGTTATATAAATACGTAAATATGTTATTCTTAAGTAAAATAGTAATAATGATTACAAAACGTATGCTATTAACTTATTTCATTAAAAAGGAAAGATCATTTTAATATACTTTAAAATTATTTGATTTATTTATAAAAATTACCTTTATTTAAAAATTAAAATAAATATACAATATTAAAATTAAATTAAATTTATAAATAAAAAATATTTAATTATAAATAAAAAATATTTAATTATTATACAAAATATTTAATTTTTATAAAAAATATTTTATTTATATATTTAATTTTTATAAAAAATATTTTATTTATATATTTAATTTTTATAAAAAAATTTTTTTCATAAAAAAAATTAAAACCCAATTAAATATATACATAAAAGCCCAATTCAATATATATTTAAAAACATGTGTTATATATATATAAACACCTATGTTATATATATATAAAAACTATGTTATATATATATAAAAACTATGTTATATATATATAAAAGCCTATATTATATATATAAAAAACTATATTATGTTATATATATAAAAACCTATGTTATATATATAAAAACCTATGTTATATATATAAAAACCTATGTTATATAAGTAAAAACCGATGTTATATATATGTGAAAACCTATGTAATGTATATATAAAAACTTATTTAATAAAAGTTTTTTAACACTTTATTTGTTGAGTGCTGATTTCTTGATTTAAGTGACATACAAAAATTCAAAAAAATATCACTAACTCAAAAAACAATATATCAAATCATGGATCTGGGATTGAATGTTATTGCGAATGTTAGACACTGTATTAAGAATATATTAATATTGAAATTGCGTTGACTCAATTTAAGTCCATTTCTTTAAGGCCATTGAACAACATAATTTCATTTCTCTATTGAAATTATATACTATTTACTAGAACTATAGTAAAAATATGGCTTATAAAATAAAAAAATAATATGTACAATATTATATATATGATATTATATATGATATTATATATGATATTATATATGATATTATATATGATATTATATATGATATTATATATGATATTATATATGATATTATATATGATATTATATATGATATTGTATATGATATTATATATGATATTATATATGATATTATATATGAATTATATATGATATTTATGATATGATATATGATTTTATATATGATTTATATGATATTAATTATGAGTGGGTGATAGCATGATATTATTATATGATTGTATATATGATTGTATTATATGAATTATTATTTATGATATGTATAGTCATGATTTATTATTCTGTAATATAACTGATGATATTATATATGATATTATATATGATATTATATATGATATTATATATGATATTATATATGATATTATATATTATGATATTTACCGGCTGCTTCACCGTTGGCCTCTTTGGCAACACCTTCATCGCCATTTTCTTCTGCACCATCTTCACCATCAGCTGCTGCGTCGTCATCACCCTTCTCACCGTCGGCAGCATCTGGTGCTTCATCGCTAACTTCAGCTTCACCGGTGGAATCACCATTTTCTTTTGCGTCAGCAGATTCCTCAGCACCGTTTTCAGTGGCTGCATCGACTTCCTCTGCCAACTCTTTACTATCTACATCCTCTGCAGTGATCTTTTCAACTACTGGGGTTTCGCTACAAAGAAAAAGCGAGAAAAATTGGTTTAGTTTTAATAATTATTAATATATTTTATGGCTTATAAAATTATTCATTTGAATACAATTTTATGCGAAAAAAAATATAAGATAAAGATATATTTAAAAAATAAAAAGCGATTAAAATTAACTAACAGAGACTAAGTCTTTGATATCGGAATATCAAGGACTTAGAGAGAAAATGACTAATTTAGGAAATAAAACGCGTTTCTAATATAGAAATGTTTATATTCTTAATGCATTTTTTTTTTATTACAAAATTTTTTGGTACTAATAAAAAAAAAAAAGGTAGTACTATAATAGTCTTGCGTGCAATTTCACAATCTATTGCAATTAAAATAGGATTGCCATTACTAAACCAAAATGCTTTTTTTTTTTACAAGTGTTATAAGAATTAATATGCTCTAGAGAAACAAACTATCATTGCTCTAGATGGATTTATGTTGCTCTGATATTCTTTATGTCGATTTTTGACTTTTCATTTCGTTTTTTTAAATATCGTAAAAACTCTACGACCTGTGCTTTTTAATATAAAATCGTACGAACTTACAGTAATAAAAATTAATATTCTTAATTAAAATTTAATTTTGACATTTTTAACATTCGGTACTAAAAATGTTTCTGAAATTTTAATTTAATTAAAAAAAAAGACAACTTTTTTTAATATTATCACAAAAAATATAATAAGTACAACAATTGTTTTTATTAAAGCTACTTAACCCCGCAATTTTTACAACAAAAACAAAAGGCAGAGCACTTTTTTTAACCAAATTGAAGGCAAGCTTTAGCTTTAATCGCGTCAAATGATATGCAGTATCCACCACACCCTACTCACCACTTCGTGAATGAAAACATTGATTATAGCTTTAATGATTTTTCTTCGCATTGTCTCTTTCTTAATAACACGAATACATAGAAAAGAATATACTTTGCATTTTAATGGAATAATTATTTCGACATTTTGCAACAAGGTAAATAATATAACCTAAAATATTTTTCTTTTTTAATTTTTTTTGTGATAATGAAAAACAAATACGAAAAACATAACGTCTTCTGTTTAATGTATTCATTATGTACACATATGTATATACCATCATGTTCGTCATTAATAATTATTTTATGTCTTTAAGTTCTTCTATTGTCTTATCAATAAAAATAACAAATATAAAAATCAAAAAATAGCTGATGATATCAAAAAATAAATCACTTTTTTGATAAAACAAAAAATTCCATTTGAAGATCCATAAAATATTTGTGAGGTAAAATTTGTTTTTTTATTACTTGAAACCAAAAAAAAAAATATACATACATATATACAACTCCAATGTACATTTAAAACGTAGTATTATTTTTTTTAACCTAACATTATTCAGTATATTTTTAGAACTGTAAATATGTATCTTATCAAAATTTTAAAATTAAGTCGCGAATTTATTTTGGTAAAAAAATTTGTGAATATTTAATATTATTAAGCAATGTCATTCAATTTTCACGAGCTAAAAAAAAGAGCTCTAAAATATTTGTAAAATTATACAATTTCTAAGCCCAGTATAAATAAAAATACATAATATAAGAAAAACATTAAAAAACTCAATACAAAAAGAAATATATAAAAATTATTTATATATATAAATCTATAATATTAAAGCAATATATAAAAAGCAATATATAAAAGCAATATATAAAAGCAATAAATTAAAGCAATATATAAAAGCAATATATAAAAGCAATTTATAAAAGCAATATATAAAAGCAATATACAAAAGCAATATATATA